GTACATCAAGAGCCGCTGCATGCGCTCTATCTAAGTGCTGCTTCTTTTTTGGGGCTGCTTGGCGTTGATTTGCTCTGCACAAGAAAAGGCTGTCTCCCTCTATGGTAAATAATGCATGCATGCATGCATGCATGCATGCATGCATTTGCATGCGGTGTTGTGTGGTTTATTTGGGGCTTTTTCACTTGCACTGTGAGGGGATATGTAGAATAAAGAGGCATTTGCATGGATTGAAGGCTGAGAGATATTCGCTGCTGTTCGTTTAGGGTGTACATACACCTCAAGTTCTATAAAAAGGAGAATATGCTGCTGCTGTGTATTATTCTTTTTTTAGGTTTCTTGCTGTGAGCGAAGGCGTTTCTGTCTCTGGGTTATTGGGGGTGAGGCTTTTGTTTGTGTTTGGTGTTTGGCTGTCTCTACTTGGTGTTTGTTTGTCTCTCTCTGCCTCTCATTTGATTTGCTGCAACTCTCTCTGTCTTTATTTTGTTTTATATTTCTTTTTTATATGTTTCCTTTTGATGTTTTAATGTTTACTTCCGTCTGTATCATTTTGCTCTTTTTTCTTGTCTCTATTCTGCATTATGTTATCTCTTTCTGTCTCTTCCTCTGATATTTGTTTTGTTTTCATTATGTCTCTGATGCTGTCTCCTTTTGCTGTTGCATGCAGCACTCTCCATTGCTGCTCTAAGCGAACAACAAACCCTGGAGACGCAGCCGCCACGTTCGGTCTTGGGCTAAGGCCTGCGAGGTGTCTCCTCGCGCTCTTCACTGTCTCCTTTGTATCCTACGAGCCCTTAATATATATATATATATGTATATATATATATGTATAATATATATGTATAATATATATATATATGTATATATATGTACGTATGTGCATATCTATACACATGATATATATTGCACGTGTTAGTAAGCATATGTCTATATATGCACATGCATATATATATCTAGTATATACGTATGTATGTATCTGTACATACGTATATATCTATATAAACATATGCATGTATCTGTATATGCATATATATATATATTATATAGGTGTATATATATATATATATATGCCTATGGCTTAATTTATGCATAGAGGTATATAATTATACACACTGCAAAAAATTGTCTCCTGCAGAGCTGCAGACTGTCTGTCCCTTCTTTCCTTCACTTCTTCCTTTTGTTTATCTCAACTCTCTTCAATTGAAGCGTATCCTCAATATGCGCCATATCTTTTTAATTCTTTTTCAAAGCGTTTAAGACAAGGGCCTTGCTGGCGTTTCTCTGTTTCTTTTCTTTTGTTTGTCTGATTCTCTTGCCCTCTCCTCCTGACTCTCTTTCATTCCTTTCGAATCATTCTTTGCGGAGGATGTAACATTTAGGGTTTAGGGTTTAGGGTTTATGCAACTTGTTGAGGGGAGTTTCATGGGGCTACCCCCCAAACCCGTTTAGCAGCTGCCACCAACCCTCCAGACTTCAATGAAAATAAGCAATTGTAAATCTGTAATAATGACAGATGGATCCTCAAACAATAATTAGTAATCCCTTTAGCAATATAATGAGGGTAAATAAACCCCGTAGTTGCATTGCATTACACCTGTATATATTGGTAAGAATAAACCCTGTATTACTATTAAATAGGTCTTGTTCAAATTTCTCTCTTTATATCCGGTACTACTGGAACCTGTTAGAAGCGATATGAATAGCTATTTACAAGTAGCAAGATTCATTAGTAGACTCTTCAGAAACAAATAACTCCACGCGTTACACACTGCCCCTTGGCCTCCCAAACCCTAAACCCTTTCCCTCGTGCATGCCTGGCGGTCGTCTGTATTAGTGGTGCAGTCCTTTATGCACTAAGTAAGAAAGCTTAACACTGAAAAACAGAAATGGTGGCTGAGAGTATAGAGGACCGACTGAGTATCCCTCGTACAAGTACTGCCTGAGGGTTCTGCGCACATGTGGAGTCGCCTATGCGCGTATCACGTTCCTAGGGAGGGAGGGAGCTTCTGCACTGTCGCGAGTAATACCTGAGCATTTGCGCCCATAGAGGCCAATATAGAGAATTAAAAATGCCGCCAATATCATTGGCTAGAAAGCCTTTTTGCTGTTTAGAACGGAATCTACAAGCTGAAAGCGGGAGGCGGGTGTACAGACGCCCGCACTTGCAAGGCAATCAGTTGCACTGAGATAGAAAGCGGGGGGAAAGCCAGAATATTTGAACTGCAACTAAGGTGATCCTTGGAAAATTATTTATTTTAAATAATTGCTTACCATTTTTTCACCATCTTCTACAGCGGGCTTTCCTCGCCTTCTGCTTTCCGGCGCCTTCCGCTTGCCTGCTCGAGCTTATTACGAAGGGTAAAGTTGAAGGCGGCGTTTGCAGCATATTACTACTTTACCCTACTTGTTACTTGTATTACCATGAAAAAATCAACAAAGCCAATCCTCTTAACTTACTTTAAACGCAGGCCTTCTGTTTTTTCTTCTTGCTCCATTTGCGCGTTTCAGCTCAACAGCAGGACCCCCGCCCAGAAGCACAGCGACGCGAACGAGCCCCCCTAGACATGGGAATCGATGCATGTGAGGCGGTCGCTACTGTTAGCTTTCATGCTGTTGTCTTCTTTTTTCTTCGAGGGCTTGTCTTCCAATTTATGTATTTTTAGAGCTAAGAAGGCACAGCGAAGAAGCCCACACAGGCGCCTCCCGCGGGGCCGTAATCTGCGCCCGGCTCGAGTGTGGAGCGAGGCTTGCCGCCCCCGGCATCGATTTCTTTTCCATGTAAGAGGCTCAGCCTTTTAGTACTGTAGAAGGAAGGCCTGAGAGGCAGTAGTTTCCCCAAGGGGGGAGGAATGGAGCCCCTGACACGGTTTTGTGCTCGCGTGTCAGGGGGCTCGAGGAGCGTTAACGTTGTTGTACATTGCGCTTGATGGGAGAGAGTTGAATGTTCGACTGCTTTTCTGTCGATCAAAGCCAATGGTGTCACCCTCTGCGGCCTTTTTCACTTGCTGCATATGGGGGGGACTCCTGAGCCTCTGCGGCGGGCTGCAGACGGCCCGCTGCCAAGTGGGTGGAGTGGAGGAGTCGCGGTGGACGAATGTGCCTGCGACATTGACAGACCAATCGTACGAGTTGGTTCCGTCTTTTGAACATTCGGGCGCCTCAGTACCATCTTGGGATTCTATAAACCGCACTGCCAGTGAGCCCCCTTTGGATGCGGCCCCCCCTGTAGGGCGTGGAGGGTCAGGAAGGCGTATGAACGCCAAGCTGAGCGCTGCTGTTCTGGCATTGTTAATTTCTGCTGGTCTCATCTCTGGGCTGCATGCGGGTGCCAGCTTGCTGCGTGGGGGGGCCCGCCCCCAGCCAAGGAAGAGGAGATGCAGCAGTTTTTCGCGAGACGTTGACAAACTTGTTGTTGCAGCGGAGAATCTAGTAAAGACATTAAAGGAGGATGACGCTGCATCGAAGCTGTCGTCTTCTTTGTTAGCCCACGTGCAAGCACTGAAAGCAGCAGATCCAAATGCCAGCTTGCTGGAGGCATGGTGGGTGCCTCCAGATGTTGCTGCAGCAGCAGGACCAGGACCAGGAGCAGCAGCAGCCGGGGCAGCAGCAGAAGCAGCGCGAGCGGAAGCAGCAGAACTTAGACAACCAGCAGCAGCTGTCCCAACAGCACGAGTGGGAGCACCACATGCAGCAGGAGGGGGGGCAGCAGCAGGAGCAGGATCAGGAGGAGCAGCAGAAGCAGCAGCAGCAGCAGGTTTAAAAGTTGAGGACTGGGAAGATTCTGCAGCGGCCCATTGGGATTCAGTGTTGTCCTTAACTCGGGAGCTTCAAAGCGTCTTTGTTACGCGGTTGCGCCACCTGCAGCGTGAGGCGGGGTTTCTATCTCACACGATTTTATTCAGGGCTTCGAGTGTTAGTGCTATGGCAGCAGCAGTAGAGACAGATGCAGTACGCATTGAAGCAGCTCTTACAGATCAAATGGCGCGTGCAGCTAAATGGGATTTTTATATGTTGAATTCGATGCTTCAAGCGGGTCATCGGCTCTCAGAGGCGACCCCACGCGATCCAGCAGAGGCTGCGAGGTTGTTGAGTTCAATTGCAAGGAGAACAGCAAGTGCAGAGGCGGTGTTTGCAAGAGTAAAGAAGAGCTATGAACAGGTGGGTCGCTGGGAGGAGGTTTCACGCCCCGTACAACTAGCGGAGTACAGCATAGAAGCCACAGAGCTGATGCACCGCTTGCATATTATGGCAGAGGATGCACAACTTCGTGCTGCTGCTGCAGCAGAGGGGGAGGAAGCGTGGGTATTAGCAGCTAAAACTGTGCAGCAGGCGAAGGCACAGACACAAGTTATCTTGAGGTTTCTAGGAGGAGAGCGACGCCCTGTCAGGGCTCTGGCTTACCTCCACAAGATGCGACATTTCTGTCGTAGTGCAGAAGAAGCGACAACAGCGGCTGAGAGAGAAACAGCAGCAGCAGCAGAAGAAAGAAATGAAGCAGCAGCAGAAACACAAGCAAAAATGCAGCAACAGCAGCAAGGAAAGAGTGAGCCTGAGATACCAATAGAAACGCTGAGATTTCGTGCACAGAGGGAAGCAGCAACAGCTGCGAAACATGCAGAAGTTGTGAATATGCTGCTGAGTAGATTAGAAGAAATTGAAGAAGTAACTATACTTCGAAGCCCAGAGGAGCAGCACTTCCAGCTGGCGAGGTCTTCAGCAGTAGCACACCAGCTAGCCAAGCTGACAGCAAAGGCAGCGAAAGCAGCAGCAGCAGCAGCAGAATCTGTAGAGTTTAGCGGGAGATATGGAGCTGTACAAGCAGGAGCGAAGAGAGCAGAAGAGCTACGTCGGGAAGTGTTCGATTGTGCTTCTGCTGTTGTGCGGTGTATAGCCGTTCATGGTGCTTGGTTTCAGCTGGATAACGCAGTACAGACCTCTATTGTAAAGTTGCAGCAGGGAGTAGAAGCTCTCTCTCTGACAAGCCCTAAAGGTAGTCAGCACCAGCGCGCTGTACAGCTTCTAAGAGACGGCAATGCAAACCTTACAAGGAGGAGATTCAGAACAACTGCTCAGCTCTCTTCTGCAGCCAGACATGCGGTTGGATTGTTGGGTTTGGCGAGGCGTGTAGAACAAATACGTCTTCTAGAAGAAACGAGAAGCGGCATGACTGCAGGTGTTGGAGTAGAGCGGCGTCACTAAGAAGCATATGTATACATTCGCTGTGTATAAAACTACACAAATACAATATATATATATATGTATATATATATATATATATA